CTAAAACTAACCTACCTGTAAGGGCTCCGACGCCGCAAACCTGTGAAAGGATTGGCCTGTCGGGTGTTAGTAGCAGCCCCTCCTAACCCCGAAGGGTAGGGGAGGACTGGGAATAGACACGGGCGGCCAGACTCGATGGCGCTCACGAAAACCGATTTTTATCACTAGATAAAATGGCTTCGCAGCTTTCACAGGCTGATCTACACCTACCCGCAATTAACCAATGTTAAGGAATAGATGGTGTCGATCACTTACCTGTTCCCGGGTCCTTCGTCTCACTGTTCGGGGCGTTTCCGCTCCGAGACAGCAACTCCAGATTAAACACGCACACACTTGGGCACACACAATTGTACAGCACTAAACAATCGGGGCCTCTTAGCACTGGTGTCCCGGGGGAAAAACAGACGGAGGCGTTGAATAAATGATTTATATACAATTTTTTTCTACCTCGCGGAAATCGGGACCTCTTAAACATTACTGGCCCTTGCCCAATACACGATTACACAAATATTCTGGGGCAACTCGAATTATAACCAGTAAACATATAAAAATCGATACTTTTATTCTTTAAAAAGCATAATTAACATTTTTAGGAAAGTTTCTGGGTGGAATCGCAAGTAAAATGGTTAAATAAAACTGCTTTATACCACTCGATACAATTATTTTTGAATATACTCTTTTGAACCAGGAAACTGCATTTAGTTCTCTCAATAATACGTTATCTCCCTCAATTGCCTTTATTGAAAGTGAATGTCATTGAAATAACAAGTTACGCAGTCAACGCATTTAGTTGAATGTGTTGATAACAAAGGAAGTTTGAAACGTCATAAAACTCGTTTTATTAACGTTTAATTGTGGCCGTCAGCGTAAAAGTGGCATAACCCACAATTCATTTTCGTACTTATGTGTTATAAAAATATAAATTTTGATGCAAAATCGGCCTATCCCTAGTTTCATCCACAGATGATTTTTTTATAACGCCATCTTGTTTTGTCTTTAAAGCAGTAAAAATAGTATTATTATTCGCCAATAGATATCGGAAAGTCATAAAGTTGATTTTTGAAAACAGGAATATAACAATATTTTCTGAAAATAAATCGTAGCTAGATCGATTTATCGCCCCCGAAATCCCTTGTATACCTACTAAATTTTATAAAAATCATTGGAGCCGTTTCCGAGATTCAGACTATATACAAGAATTGCTCATTTAAAGGTATAAGATAATAGATGCCTTTGTAAACATCATTTTAGCACGTATTTTTTTTCCTACGAAGTATTGTAAAGGTAAATTCGAACCTCATTATCTCATGCTAACTATGGTAAGCTTAGGCCACTTTTGCGCTGAGGGCCTCAATTAGAATTGGGATGGGAAAGGCTCGTTCGTTTAGGTAGCGGATGGAGACTAGAGGTCCAGGATTGGGTCGCGTGGCGTACCTTGGTAGAGGTCTATGTCTAACAGTGGACTAAAATAGGCTGTTAAATATGACTAGTGGTCCCCCAGTAGTGGAAATTCGACTATAATTACTAATGTAAACTATAAGTTTGAACATTATTATGGTTCTATTGTCAAAGACTAATAATATACTTTTATAACCACAGATGTCGCCATGACTACGCTATAGGATTAATAATATTAAAGTCAAGCAATATTAATTCATAGATTATTAATAATTATATAATAATTAATACATAGATGGTGCGATGACCTCCGCACGGTGGCCGGCAAGAAGTGGATGAGGAGAGCCGCAGACCGGGCTCAGTGGTGTAGATTGGGAGAGGCCTATGTCCAGCAGTGGACGACTATGGGCTGTTGATGATGATGATGATGATGATGAATATTAATTCTATTCTCAATTTGGCCACAGAAATTAAACAATAAGCAAATCAGTATAAATGCTTGTGTGTGTTAAATACATGGTAGTGTGTGTAATGTTTTTTTAAAATTGATTTAATGTATTTTTTATGCATAATTGTAAAGAAATGTTAGCATTGTGCATTGCTTCTCAATATTCTTTATAATTGGGAAAAATTTCATACTCCTTCGTCCGCGCGATTTTCGTAAAAAGGAGTACAAAGTTTTTGCTTCACGTAGATAATGATAGATAATGATTTATATAAAAAAAAATTGCTGTTTTAGAAAAATTCCATCCTCAACAACGCAAATGTAGTCTAGTCACAAGGGTTTCTTAATTAAATTGAAACGACAGCGCAATAAACATTTTTTATGAAAATAAATATATTAATTACAAAAAAAATACCATAACTTTAAATCACTATATAAATTGTTACAATTCTACAAAAAAAATTCACGTTAAGCTATAAACCATTGGGATTATGCAATAGCACGCACAAAACATGGGTAGTGAAATGTAAAAACAAGCAATTTGAACATAATATCTCAAAAGTCAAACAAAAATTCGTTCACAGTGTCGTTTATTTTTCATTGTGTTTTTCTAAAGTAATCAAAATAGTTTGTCTCTGTAATTATGTTAAAACTCGATGGCCTTAGGCTTATAAAAGCCGAGCGCAAACTTATAATTAATTAGGAACAAAACACGGCGACAACTTGTCTAATTTAAGTAGTTAGTTCAGCGGTCTTGTAGTCTGTAGGGAACTTCCAGTATTCTTCTTCCAGTTCGGCATTGTCGCCCATAGTTATATTATTTCGAC